ACACTGACAAAATCCCTGGCAGAAAGAGGAGTCGCATGCTAAGAAACAACATCTATCAATTAAGCATGCTTTCTCCTGCCACTCTTTGAAGATGCATCGCAAATTCACATTTGTGTGGCGCTTGCATCATAAATGAATCACGAGGCAGCCATTCGCGTTTGATTGTATTAGTATTGCGCAAAAAAATCCTGATGGATTCTGCTGCTTCAAAGGCGCCCATCTAAAAGACTTCAGGCAGGCTTGGAAATGCACAAATCTAGCAGGCTCTTAAAAATTTAAACAGAGACGCAGACCTTCTTTTGGGACCGCCTGTCAAACCTGTCCTAATATGTGAGATACACACAAACAACTAGCAGAGCAGACGAGACTCTCAGACCCTCCACAACAGCAGGACGAAGCTTTATTACTGCGGCGCAGACTAACACACTCTCATATATGAAGTATGGACACGCACACACACCTGTGCACCTCATACAGGCACACTCACACAGAGGCACACGGTTATAGGCAGGCCCAGACAGATTCATTGTTTGCTATTTCTGTGAAGACTGGTTGAATTTATCTGAGGATTTATTCTGAATAATTCATTCTGATTATTATTATTATTGTTTTATTTATTTATTTATTTAACAAGGAACGTCCCGTTGAGATTGAATACCTCTTCTATCAGGGAGCATGGTTGCCACAACACACAAACACACACACAATAATACTTAAAATAGTATAATGGTCTGAACTAGGACTGTACAATATATCAAATATCCCAATGAGTGGCAATAATAGTATATGGAATACATGCTTTGCAGACGTGTGATGAATTACTAAAATTTTATTTATTGGTTGTTTGTCTAAATATGACCAATCAGATTTAGCCTTACTATCTTTATCTCCTTACTATCTTTTTTAAAAAAACTAGAACTAATTGAAATTGTATTGTGTAAATACAAAACTAACTGATACCTCCTTCGTTTTCGTATTTGTGAATGTATTTAATACATAATCTTACTGTAAGCCTTTTAGAAGTAAATCTAATTCGCGCTGCACATTGAACCGTACAGCACCTCAGAGTCTGTAACAGACACTTAAACTGTTACTTTAACACATTTGTGCCCAATAATGGGTTTTATTTCTGTACCGCCATCGCGAATGAATCTTTTTAACCGCATCTTCTAAGTGAACCGGTTGAAATAGTTCACCAAATCGAACTGAATCATTTGAAACGATTTGCGTCTCCAGTAAGCACTTATCCACCGAATACTTACTTTATAACAAGACTAATACCCACCTCTGACTCGAAATAATCCAATATATACTCTCAATCATTTATTAGAACAGTTACGTTACACTGAGATTAAATTTGAGAAGCGTTGAACCGATGATTCAGTGAACCTAACACAAACAGTACATGACAGCCTGCTGTGACTGAACTTAACTTAAACCACATGACTACATAATTTTGGTATGCTGAGTCTTAACATCTGCGTTCAATATCTGAACTTCCCATCACTACTGTGTATCTAACCTCAGAAGTATGTCTTGCACACATATTGTACTTAAGGCTGCTATCTTGTGTTGTATTTGAATTTGAGGATGGGTAGATGGTATTGGTAGATGATAGTGTTCATGTGTCCTCTAAATACAGGTTTCAAAAAAATGTAAGACTGAGTTTTTATTATACAATATTTATTCTGTTGAATCTTGCACCAGACAAACATCTTTATTTAGAAAAAAAACTAAAAAACTAAAACTAAGATAGAAACTGATTAAAACTTGTAAATCTCCCTCTAGAAACAAATTAAAACGAACTAAATTTGAAAACAAAAAGTCTAAATGAAATAGAAACTAAAACTAATGAAAAATCCAAAACTATTTTAACTTTGGTCTGATTAAGAATTTATTAAAAGTCAGCTAATAAAAAAAGCTTTTTTTTTAAGGGAAATGTTATATCATAAGACATGTCATCGCAATCCTCAACAACAATAACACACTTCACATAACAGAATAGCAAAGTCCACTAAAGGAGGTTGAACTTTCTCATATATATATTCTAAACTCTGGAATAACCTTTCTGATAAAGTCCAAGACTAAGACACACTCTCTTAGGTCAAAGCTAGATTAAATACTTATATTTTTAGTAAAGCATATACACAATGCATCACATAACTGAAGGATGCATGAATGTGCTCTGTGTAGATGAGTGGGCTAGACAAAACACCTGTTGAACACACTTCTTTTTATGCACCAGGCATTTTTTTTTACAAATACTTCTCTGTAATATATAATTGTTAGCTAAGAATGGTTGCGTGTGCTCCATGCATGTGAGCAGGCTTGACAAACCACACGTAGGACACACTCTTCCTGTCTTAATCCACAAGAATCGCATCGATTGCCCCGATCACCCCCTTCCCTAAACCCAATAAACATTTTTTTTTTCAAAAGCAATCCAGAAAAAGAAAAGCTCTCCCCTGATTTTTACCACGTTTTTAGATCTTACCAAATTCTTACTCTGTTATTTACTTGTTTACTTAAATTTTTGCTGGTTTTGCCTATATTCTGTTTTACCTGCTTTCTGAAACCATTCTTCGCCAAACTTGAACCCCATTTTCACAACTCAAGTCCACTGACGTACATGGCAAGCTACTGGGCAAACTGGTAACAGTGGAAAAGCTGTCCACATGGAGATAAGCAGTCAGCTGGTAGCGCAAAAAGAAACAGAAGCCTTCGGCGGTGTCATACCACCCCGTAGCATATACAGTTGAAATCAGAATTATTAGCCCCCTTGAATTATTAGACCGCTTGCTTATTTTTCCCCAATTTCTGTTTAATGGAGAGAAGATTCTTTCAACACATTTCTAAACATAATAATTTTAATAACTAATTTCTAATAACTGATTTATTTGAACTTTGCCATGATGACAGTAAATAATATTTTACTAGATATTTTTCAAGACACTTCTATACAGCTTAAAGTGACATTTAAAGGCTTAACTAGGTTAATTAGGTTAACTAGGCAGGTTAGGGTAATTAGGCAAGTTATTGTATAACCATGGTTTGTTCTGTAGATTATCGAGAAAAAACATAGCTTAAAGGGGCTTATAATTTTGTCCCTAAAATGGTGTTTAAAAAATTAATAACGACTTTTATTCTAGCCAAAATAAAACAAAAAAAGACTTTTTCCAGAAGAAAAAAATATTATCAGACACGCAGTGAAAATTTCCTTGCTCTGTTACACATCATTTGGAAAATATATATAAAAAAGAAAAACATTTGAAGGGGGCTAATAATACTGACTTCAACTGTATACTATATATATATATATATATATATATATATATATATATATAATAAATAATCATAATAAATTACAAAATATGCCCTTTACATCTAAATAGAGTGAACACATTAATTACTATCACCTTTATCCAGACAAACTCATTTAAAAAGAATGCACACATAAAATCCCCAAAAGAAGACATGATTTTTTCCCAAAGTGGATGCCTCATTAATTGTCCAGTATTTTACTGAGCAGATGAATGTGTGCTGGTGTGGGTCATGAGGGGACTGTTAACAATGACTGTTAGATTCAGCTCATGGCTTTCACTGAGCGTGACCAAATTTGAGCCTAAATGAGAAAACTGAAAGTCCATCCATGAGCCGATACAATACTCACGTTCCCTAAGGATGCTCTACAACAACAATCTCAAACTCAATTCCTGGAGGGCTGCAGCTCTGCATAGTCTCCAACTCACACCTGGTTAATAGTCTTTAGTAGTCTTCAACACTTTGATTATTTGGATCAGCTGTGTTTGGTTAGGGTTGGAGCAAATCTGTGCAGAGCTGCAGCTCTCCACACTGTCAGAAAAAAGGGTACGGTTGGGGTACATTTGTGAACACTTGGGGTACAAATGGTGAAGTTGTACCCTCAATGGTTCAAAGTAGCACCCTAAGATACTTATATGTACCATTTAAGGGTAAAAAAGGTACAAATATGTTCCTAACTGTCAAAGGGTCCATGTTTGGGCCATTTAAGGCCCAAAGAAAGGTACAATCACTTGTGTGAAAAAGGAGCAAGTCAACGTGTATGAAATGGTCCTTAATTTATGTCATGAGTTGTTGGTTATTTGGAAGAAATGCACACAAAAAAACTGTACATTATAAATTAAATTATTTAATTATATAAAACATGGCCTTATAAATATTATAAATTAATATTTTTGATTTAAGAAAATTTTAACAAAAATCCCCCTAAATGTAAAGTGAAATGGCTTATTATACACAGACCTTTCTTTGATTATCAGATTTAATAAACTACTAGAATGGACATACAACTATAAAGTAGATGAATACAATAGGAATTAAAGGTAACCAGCTTGGTAAACAAAGACAGAGTACAACATTGTAGCATTAATAAATAAATTAATTAATAAAACAATTATAAACCGTAACAGAATAATACTGCCAAAATAATACAGCTGGGAACAAATAATAGATTTAAAAGACCAAAAACTGGCCGTTAGATATACACAAAATGTATTAAATATAGTGTTTTAACTACAAGAGGGAGATTGAATCCAGCGGCAGATGCGAGATTGACTGGCCGAAGTAAAAGCTGCTGTCGGCGGGGGAGAGAATCATAAAGCTCCCGCTGACAGAGTCCGCTTTCACTGAAGCACATTGTCAAAGAAGCGCTGTCTTTTTAAATAAACTGCCGATTCGAGTTTAAAACAACTACATTCTCGCCTGAAATACTCTTAAAACTACATTTTGTGGAACATTAGATGATATTTTTTAAACTTGCGGGTCTGCACAGCGGGGTATTGTCCATTGACTTTCACTTAGCATTAGCAGCCAGCAAATTTGAATTCGTGTTGTCCAATAGGATTTTTGCCCGCGCCGTGCATTCATAATGCCAGCTGATTACGTGTGACGGTTAATCTCCAGCTGTTGCACTGTTGTTCTGACGCTCTTCTCGGCGTCGATGGAGGATGGACCTCAAGGACGCAAAGAAGCTGGAATACGCTCGTGAAGACGAGGCACAGACATTTGCAGGTAAGTTTAATGTTAAATAACGTATTGTAAATATCCGTTGGGTCATATTCAATTCATATTTGACGTTACTTTGCCTTGTGTATGTAGTTAAGATTAACATTACCGTCGAGTTACCTGCTGCGTGAGGGGACCCTTTTGTAATTTAAGGTTGGCCAGAAATTAAAATATGATTTTTTACATAACCTGGCCATGAGACAAAGCTCGAGACACTGGTAAAACAGCGGTGAAACGTCCAGAGAAACAGTTCAAACACATTTAAGTTAGTTTTGTTTGGATAATGTGGTTAAGTCTTTATTGCAAACGTTATTCATAAATTCAGAATTTCCTTAGTGTTGGGAAGCTAACATTCATGCTAACGTTCATGTTTATTTCGGAAAGGAGTGAAGTGAATGCCTTCATGTCTGAAACGATATAACTTTAACGTTAGTTTATGCATATCTCGACCCACATCCATTTATAGCAGTAGTATTTTGCAACGTTACATATTTAAATAACGTTATAAATGCATGTCCAAGAGAGTCATAATCATCTGTCGTGTCAGATCGAGGTGCGGGTCTTTATCAAACTTTTAAGTTGCTAATTTAAAGCTTTTTTTTTTTTTTTTGCTGTTAACCTCAAGTTCACACCGATCATAATTCTTTTTCTTTCAGAAAATGAAGTGGACGAGGAAGCAGTAGAGTGTAATAACGTAAGTATTTAGTATTTTGTATTTCATCTGTTTGTGAATAATATATATTTATATATTATGTATGTGTGTGTGTGTGTATACTTTTTCCCCAGGAATTCATTGTGCAGTCTTAAATTTAATCTCCCTTTTTCTATTCAACTGTTCAACTGTTAGGTGATGTGTTAAAGTTATATTTGAAATTTTATGATTGTCATTATTTTGCACTTATATTTGATCCAAGAGGTGATTGCTGCAATTGGTGAGGATGCATCATCTTTTGAGAGTAATGCGAATGTCCTGCGTATCCAGTGAAATAAGGTGTGTGACCCTTTATTAAAAACACCCTTGTCAGTGAGATCACACATTTTAAATCAGTTCTCAGTTTAAATGAAAAGTTTAATGTCAGTAATAGCCAAAGTGTAGGATCAAATGACTATTATAAATGTTATGACTATTGTAAAAAAAATTAATTTTTAAGCTTTGTGGTGAACATATGTGCATTCAAGCTTACAACTATTTGTACAATGATAACTAAAGGGAAATGGCAACAAAGAATATTAGATAATGTTTTTAGTTAAAGTGAATCACTAATTTCCTTTTTATTTATTATAGTCATGGTGAACCTGACTGAATGCATTCATCTACTATCTCCAACCAAGTCAGAGCTTCAAGGACAGCTTGTGCTAAAGGTGCCTGAGCTTGATTAAGAAAAAAAGCATCTCCACTGGCCAAAGTCTACAAAAAAGCAAGAGAATAGAAGTTTGCAGATGATCTAACAGGTATTAACATAAAACTTACGTAATAATAATTTTGCTAGATCAAACCCTTATTTCTTGGATGTGATCATTAAGTGCCTTTTCAAGCTGCATTTAGCAAGTTCAAACTCATGGGCCTTATATACAAACCCTTTATATAGAGAACATTCCTTAATGTTTTTCTTTAAAAAATGTAATTCATAAAAATACATCAATATCTTTTATTCAGCATTTGCTAAACATTCCAATTCAAATTATTTAAGAGTACTTCATTATTTGTCTTTATTTTATTTTAGGGTGTCACAGTGGCGCAGTGGGTAGCATGATCGCCTCACATCAAGAAGGTTGCTGGTTTGAGACTCTGTTGGGTCAGTTTGCATTTCTGTGTGGAGTTTGCATGTTGTCCCCATGTTGGCGTGGGTTTCCTCTGGGTGCTCCGGTTTCCTCGAGAAGTCCAAAGACATGCAGTACAGATGAATTGGGTAAGCTAATTTGGCCATAGTGTGTGAATAAGTGTGTATGGGTGTTTTCCAGTGATGGGTTGCAGCTAGAAGGGCATCAGCTGTGTAAAACGCATGCTGGATATGTTGGCGGTTCATTCCGCTGTGGCAACCCCAGATTAATAAAGGGACTAAGCCGAAAATAAAATAAATGAATGGATGATTTTATTTTGCAATAGATTCAGACTTTCGTGCAGCTCTAATTCTGCTCCCCCATATCTTTAAAGAGAAAGATGATTGCTTACAGTAATTACACTGGAAGAGGTTTGGGTACTGTTGGTTAAACACTTTGTAATACTCTGATAGATATTATGCAGTTCTGACAGATTTTACATTGTTTATTGATGTCCTTTACTTTTTCTTTTCACAGTGGGATGATGATGATGCTCCATACCCAACTCTACAGATGGCTGAAAGTCCATTTTAAAGGCATTATTACATCCTTCGCTGTTTACTGTGTTTTCAACTTGGTTTATCCACGCTACATAAAGAATGCAAAGGATGAACATCAGCAACTCCCCAAGATGGAACAACAATTTAAATTTGAACATCAGCAACGGTGTGAAGATGGAAATCCAAAATTACAAGAAAAATCAGTGCAGCTGTCCAAGAGAACTGGTATTGCTGGGTCTGCATCAAACAGCAATGCTAGGATCTTTGCATTTACTTTGGTGCATGCGTTTCGAGTCTGCATCAGTAATTTAAGACTAGCAGCTATAGACATTTCAATAACATTGCCCAAATCAACTGAGAAGCACAAGATGAAACAATGCTAAGAATTTTCTCCGCCCAACATCCTTGATGAGATTGACACATTCAGGTGTTCAAATTGAACTGTTATCGTGTGCATGTGAGACTGCTAATGGAGAAGAAATGACACTTTCCTAATGAAATACATTTTAAATGTCAATACTGCACTGGTTTCTGTGTAGCAAGTTTTTAATTCTGGTGTTGTATGATTCATATTTCCATGCAAATACAGTAAGAGTTTGCTTTGAATGGGGTGTTATAAACCAAGACAGACGGACTTTTAGGCTCTTGAAACATACTCTGCTGATAAAATGTTTAAGAATGTTTAGAAATTTCAAATCAAATGTGTAAAACTTTGATCAAAAGTGTTTTTGAGATCTAAAATGATTATGGGTATACTTTAAGTGACATGTTTCAATGTACTGTATGAAAAAAGATTGCTTTGAGATTCTTGATGCTTTTAGAAAATGTAGAATGCAGTGCACTAGCAAAAATGTACTTTATTAGGTCTACTGTTGTTTTAGAAAAATTACTTTGTTACATTGGTAAAAATGCTCAGTGAAATGGGATGCACTGATGTTAAAAAAATAATAAGTTTTTTTGCTGTTTCATAAAATGTTTTAAAATGTTTAAGCAGCTATTTTTTAAGTTTATGCATCTGGTATGACTTTGTGATAGTTTAAAACTTTCATCTTCTAAAAAGGTGACAATGTAATTGTTTTGAATCTTTCAATGTGTGTTTGTGATAAAATGTTACATTTTAATGTCTTTTAAAATGATGTAATGTTTAAACATTCATCCTGTAAAAATGTTGATATTTAATATGTTTAATAAATGTGATAAATGAAATTTATTGTGTATGGAGTACAAATCTGAAATGAAAGGGTACAAAATTCATCCCTATGGAGGAGAAATTGTACCTTTTTTAAAGGTACATTATTGTACCATAGCCCAAGTAAGGTACAAATTAGTCAGCAGAGGTACATATTTGACCCATGAAGGTACATACTGCTAGGGTACAAATATGTACCCATGTGAAAGGGTACAACAGGTGTACCCTTGAGGGTACTGCCCCAGTGACAAGCCATTGTACCCCAAAAGGTACAAATTTTGCACATTTTTTCTGACAGTGCAGGAATCGCGTGTGAGACCTATGCTCTACAACAGGGGTGTCAAACTCAATTCCTGGAGGGCCGAAGCCCTGCACAGTTTAGTTCCAACCCTGCTCCAACACACTTACCTGTAGGTTTCAAACAAGCCTGAAGGACTCAATTAGTTTGATCAGGTGTGTTTAATTAGGGTTGGAACTAAACTGTGCAGAGCTGCGGCCCTTTTGGAACTGAGTTTGACACCTGTGCTCTACAACAAACACACACACACAAAAAACAAAAAACAAAAAAAAAAAACACCACATGCCTATAAACAAATCTTCAGACTCTACTAGGACAGATGCAAAAGCACATGTGGTAAAAGGAAGATGCCACCTTAAAATGTCTTGATGGATGAAAAATGACACACAAAGAAAGGTCAGCAATCTTCACGGACTCGGGGGTGAATTTTTGAGGAAGCTGAAACGCACATGAAAGAACTGAAGACAGACTTTATTCCAGAGGCACATTTTTAGATTCACAACATCACACCGACTAGGTAAATACAATCTGAAAATAGATTTTCAACTTGATTTATTCACCCCTGTTAGACGCAGAAACAATGTATTTTTAAATACTAATAATTATTATTGAACAATTGAAATAAAATAAAATGACCTGTTTAGCTAATCTGGATAAACATATTTTGATTAATAATTGTTTATAATCTTGAAAGTTGTGTTGTGCATTATTTGGAATAATATAAAAATGTGTTTTAAATTGAATAACTTATTTAATTACATTATATTCAATTTTTTTTTTACCTATCATTATAATTTACTAGTAATGCACTTTTAATTAGTAATAATTCACGTTTTTAATTAGGTTTTACTATTAGTTACATGTTTTTATTACAAAGTTATTTAATGTTTAATTTACTATCATCATCTTCAAAGTCGAAAATTTTATTGTAAGCTACTAGTAATGAATACAATATTTTCATTTTATTTTAATATTATTTTATGTTTAATTTATTATCTAAATCTTAAAAGTTTAAAATTATTTAATAAGATATTTATAATGAATACCAATTAAATGTATTATAAATGAAATGAAATGAAATAAAATTCAACTCAACTCAACTCAACTCAATTCAATTCAATTCAAGATTTTTGCTTGAATCTAGAAGCTGTTGAACACCAATTCACTCATGATTTCTCGTTTAAAAGTTAAAAAAGTATCCATTCTCAACTATTTTCCATTGACATATAAAACTGTGTGGCTCCGCAAATGAATTTGTATGAGTTGCAGAGGTGTGTATGCAACCGTGTCTGTGTTTTTGTGTTGTTACCTCATATATATTGCAACTGTGTGTTTGTCTACGCTGCAGTAATAAAGCCTGGACCTGCTGCTGTGGAGGTCTGAGAGCTTCACCCACTCTGCCAGTTGTTTGTATGGTTGAAAACCCAGGCCTCAAAGCATCCAGAAGATCTATCAAACCCCCCGCCTTGCCTTCGCTGGCAACCCACTGGGCATTAATTCCCTCCGCTGCGAAAAAAAATCTAACCGACTTGCCAATTTCAGGCTTCTACGTACTTTCAGAGGCTTCCCGGGACGCCCAGACCAGCCGCTTTTGGTTTTGATCAGCTTCATAAGAACAGATACTGGGTGTTTGGCCAAAGCCACGAGGATGCCAACACCATTCTGCAAAACAATTATCCATACTTACTGCGGGCAAGGCTTTGAATTACCTTCAATTATCACTTTCTGCTAAATGATTTGAAGAGCTTTTATTTTTCCTCCAGAAACAGGGCAGGTTTAACAGCCTTAGGGTAGAAACTCAATTCTCTCCAGGCTATGTGTGAAATGATTACTGTGTTTATGAGGAAATAAAGCATAATATGAGCGCACGTTGAATTTGTAAATGAATAAAGCTTGATTTAGAGATTTACCAGTCTTATTAAGGGCTGTAAAAAGATTCATCTTGAGGTTTGTGATCTCTATTAAAAAAGTATGTAATAATTAATAACAATGTGCATATTTTCTTTAAAACAATGTTTGTTCTGGATTTATTATAAAATCTTGAGAACATTTGTGACCCTGGATCTTATGTTGCATGAGTTAATGTTTAGCTTTAGTTTAAGTTATAAAATGTATACAGCAGATTTCTACTAAACCTTGTAGAACAAAAATATGAATACAGCTGTAAGTTTTGGTTCAATTATAGTAAATATGAAAATGTATTTTACCCCTATATTTTCCTAGTTCCTGCGCTAGCCTGCTGCTACAGATGACACTAGTTTTTATACGATCTTTCATCTTGTTTTGCACTTGAACGACTAAATTAATTCTTGGAAACTGATTGTATTGACAGTTGAGCATATAGCCCATTGGAAACCACTGACTCAACCAATCATATCAAACGTGTTTTTTTTGCACGGTGCATCTTTTGAATGCCTCACTAATGGACTTGCATGTTAGGTAGCATCCTTGCCATCGAGCGATGTGCACTCGCAGTTGAAAAAAAAAGTCATCTCCGAGCAGAAACAGCATGTTATATTACTAGCATCTTATTTATTCTCCAATCAAATGTATGCAGAGGCGGGGTTTCCGTTGAGGTGTTAGCAGTGTTTGTGCTGGCAAAGCGACTGGGTCACTGTTTCCCAGAGCTGTATGACTTTACAAATTCTTAAATATTGCAATATTACTAAATATTACCATTCTAACAATTTCACAGCTGATTCAGTCGTTGACTAGTGACATAAAAAAGTTCATCCATTGCTCGTTATTTTATGCATATAGTATATCCATGTAATCTCTCGGCTGTTTATTAGAACATGGCAGATTCTTTGTTGACATTCTGTCCATAAGAACAGAGCTTCAAGAGCTCGTGACGTATCTCTGTACCTCCACCTTTTGGTACCCTTTCTCGTTTTTGATACCCTTTCGAAAGGGTGTCAAAAAAGTGGTACGGTACGGTTTGGTTCGGTGCGCTAATTGACAGTGGAAACGT